GAGCCTGACGCGGGGCTCGAACTCACGACCTGTAAGATATGACCTGGGCCGGAGTCGGCCGCTTCACAGACTGAGCCAGCCAGGCACTCTAATGCCCATTCACTTCTGATACCTCTTTTGTGGCCTTGGTCCCCTGGTGAAGTGCGTTCTTGGGATCATCCGCCATCAGCCTTTAAAAGTATTTTCCGGAACCCAGGCAGTTTCTTCCAAAGAGGAACTGTGGGGCCGACCGTTCAGATAGTAGCAGCTGTGCCTCACGGGGGACTGTGTTGACTCATCTGTGTAGACTTGGAAAGCCCTAAGCGTTGGGAAAGGCCACGTTTGGGATCTGTTCCATCCCTGTCTCTATCCCTCCCTCCATCCACCCCGCCGCCCACTCATCCACCTGCCCCGCTACCCGCCCCGCAGTATTTCCTGACAGCTCCCGGCTGTACCGACCTGCGCGGTGGGCGGGCTCCGGGGAACCCAGCCCCCCACCCCTCGCCTGGAAGCAGAGCCCCGGCAGTGGGCCCCGGCCCTGGCCCTGGTCCGAGCAGAGGGGTGGGGGGACGGCAGTCAGGAAGCAGGGAGGGAGCGAGGGAGAGCCTTCATTAGTCAGCTGCTCAGCAGGTCCGGTCAGACTTAAAATGTCCCCCAAGACTGTGTGCTGAGACGCGGGGGGGAGGGGCGAGTACGCTGAGTTACTTCTCCAGTAATCGGCACTGAAGAAGCTGCAGACACCCTGGGGTGGCCTCGCACTCGCCTGCCTGGGGGACGGCGGAGGGGCAGCTAGTTGGGGCCTCCGGGCTCTCCCCGCCCACGGGCCCGCCTCCTCACCCCCCACCCTCCGCCTCCGGGGAGCTGAGGGGACAGCGCTCTCCTTGGCTTTGTCCCGGCAGCCTGGGGGCGGGGCCGGTGCGGGCAGGTCAGAAGCCCCGCGGTCTGCAGAGCCTCGCGCCTGTTGCTGGGGAACAGCATCGAGGCCCTTCTCTGAGGGGAACAGCCTTGCCAGGGGCTCTGCCGCTGCCCGCCTGGCAGGCAAGGCCAGTGCTGGGTTTTCCTATGGTCTCATCCCTCTCCCGGGCCCAAGAGGCTTTGGTGGCACTTTGGATGAGTGATTTGAAACAACTGGTCACACAGTTTGTAAACAGTAATCTGGCCGTGTGCACTAACGTGTGCGCGCGCGCGCACGCTCCCGATGTTTGGTGTCTGTCTTCCCTGGTAAGGGTTTCTGGCTGGTACCTGGGGCACCTCTCCCTCGGCTGGGCCTGGTAGCCTTATGCCGGAGGCTTCTCCTTCCTCCCCAGGGGCAGAGTGCGTGCGTGGGCAGCCTGGGGTGGGCCATCCAGATAGGTCACCTGCCAGCGGTGCCTGCCTCCTCCCTGCTGTGGAACCAAGCCGAGAGAACAGGTCAGAGGGGAGTCCTAATGTTGGCAGTAAGAGCGGGCATGGGTCCCAAACTCCCCCCCCCCGCCGTTAATTTCCTATGCCAGAGGGGAGTCCTAATGTTGGCAGTAAGAGCGGGCATGGGTCCCAAACTCCCCCCCCCCCGTTAATTTCCTATGCCCCTACCCCACCCCAGGGAGCTCTGGGAGCACAGTTAGAAAACTCTCTATTTAGGGGCGCCTGGGTGGCTCAGTTGGTTAAACATCTGACTTCAGCTCAGGTCATGATCTGGCCCTTAGTGAGTTCGAGTCCTACGTTGGGCTCTGTGCGGACAGCTCAGAGCCTGGAACCTGCTTTGGATTCTGTGTCTCCCTCTCTTTATCTGCCCCTCCCCCACCCACGCTCTGTCTGTCAAAAATGAATAAACGTTAAAAAAAAAAAAACCCAACTATTTCAGTTCTCCCATCTTGTAGACAGGGAATGATAAAGGCAGAAGGCTGGCAGCAGGGACAGGATGAAGACCTGTGTCCCACTTTCCCAGTCAGGGGCTCTGGCCTCCAGCCCAGGTGGAGAGTCTAAGGATTCACTTCATCAAGCCTTGACTGAGGGTCTGGCTCTACTTATAGTCTGCACCCAGAAAGAAGAGCCAGGCCAGTCAGGACCAGCTACATAATTTGCAGGGCCCAGTGCAGAATGAGAATGTGGGGGGCACCTGAATGGCTCGGTCGGTTACCCATCCCACTTTGGCTCAGGTCATGGTCTCACGGTTTGTGATTTCGAGCCCTGTGTCTCTCTCTCAATGTTTATTTATTTTCGAGACAGACAGAGAACACAAGCAGGGGAGGGCAGAGAGAGAGAGATAGAGAGGGAGACACAGAATCTGAAGCAGACTCCAGGCTCTGAGCTGTCAGCACAGAGCCTGACGTGGGGCTTGAGCCCACAAACAGTGAGATCAGACCTGAGCTGAAGTCAGACGCTTAACCGACTGAGCTACACAGGAGCTCCAGCTTCTTACCCTTTTGTATATCCTTGTATACCTCCTCTGTGCTCATGTTCCAATCGGGGCTGGCTGGCCTTGGCCTCTAGCCACATAGCCACTGCCATTGTCCTAGGGACTCTCTTTGCCCCCTTCCCGTGCTGGCTCTCCAGTTTCCCGTGTCCCCCATATCCTGCTTTTCTCCCTCGTTTGGTTGGAGCACATTCTCTAGCAGCTGCCTGAGAAAGAATGTATGGGAGGTCAGTTTTTCCAAACTCACAATGTCTGAAAATATCTTTATTCTACTGTCATTGAGATGTGGCTGGGTACAAATCTAGATTAGAAACCATTTCTGGGGGGCTTCGTGGGCTCTGTTGGTCAAACATCCAACTCCTGATTCCGGCTCAGGTCATGCTCTCACAGTTCTGAGATTGAGCCCTGAGTCGGGCTCTGCGCTGACAGTGGGGAGCCTGCTTAGGATTCTCTCTCCATCTCCCTCTGCCCCTCCCCTGCTCATGTGCATGCGCTCCCTCTCAAAATAAAGAAACAAACATTAAAAGAAACCATTTCCTATCCGAACTCAGAAGACGTTGCTTCAAAATCTGCTTTGAGAATTTCAATGCCATTTAAAATTCCTGATCCTTGGTATGTGACTTTTTTCTTTTCCCTCTTTGGAAGGTTTGAGGACATTTTTAAATTTAGGATTTTTAATCCTGGTGTCTTGAAACTTAGTGATAAAAAGGCTTGCTATAGTTCCTTAAATTGTTTTATTTTGAAAGATTTCAGGTGTATAAAAACAATGCAAATATAATATATAATGAAATATTATGATTAAATATTGCACCCCCATCTATTCATCAGGGATATTAAAATATTATCAGTAGGGGCACCTGGCTGGCTCAGTCAGTTAACTGACTCTTGATTTTGGTTCAGATCATGCTCTTATAGTTGATGAGATCGAGCCCTGTGTTGGGCTCTGCACTGACAGTGTGGAGCCTGCTTGGGATTCTCTCTCTCTCTCTCTCTCTCTCTCTCTCTCTCTCTGCCATTTCCCCCGTTCACGCTCTCACTCTCTCAAAACAAATAAATTTAAAAAAATTACCAATATGTTGAAACCCTTGCTTAATTGGCCCCTTCTTGAGATGTACCTTGAGATCTGTTGTTTATCCTTCCTGCGCATTTCTTTATTCTTTGGCTGCATAAAATATATGTTAATATATGTCATTTCCCCATGTTTTACAGTCTATATATAGATGGTGTCATAACGTACACATCTTCCTGCCATCTGTCTCTTCGCTGAGGTTGTTGGGGAGAGTCATCTGTGCCGAGTGCGGCTTTCACTACTGCACGAGATGCCATTAACGCTGCTGTATCCGTTTCTCTATCTATCCGTCTGTTGATGTTATTTGGGTCGCTTCCAGTTTTCGGTTGATAAAAAGGTACAGCTCTAAACACTCTGTACACATGTCCTGGAGCCCACTCGGGAGAGTTTCTGTTATGGAAAGGGTTCTCCGTTCTGCGAGCACCTTGGAGTCACGTGGGGAAGGTTCCAAAAGCCTGATGTCAAGGCTGTGCCCCAAATTGATGAAACCGGAATCTCCCGGGGTGACATGCTGGTAAGACTCCCCAGGTAATCCCTAGTGGCGATGGCACCGCCCCGGGCCAGTGCTACTCAGAGTGGTCCTCCAGCCAGGAGTCTGTTCGACGTACACTCTCAGGCCCTCACCCAGGCCGGGTGAGGGAGACCCCGTTTCTGCAAGCCCTGAGGGGGTGGATGTAATTTCTTCAATAGTTTTCTCCCCTTTACTTTGCTTCTTGGTTTGAAATTCCTATCTGTTGGAAGTTGGACCTTCCACACAGATCTTACCCTTGGGTTGTCCAATGTTCTTGACTTTTCCCCTGTGCTTTTACATCTCTTCTTTGTGTTTTACTTCCTGGGAGATTTTTCTCTCATGTTCCGTCCCTTATAGTGCATTTTTAAATTACTAAATAATTTTTTTAAATGTATATTTATTTTTGAGAGAGAGAGAGACAGAGAGTGAGCAGGGAAGGGGCAGAGAGAGAGGGAGACACAAAACCTGAAGCAGGCTCCAGGCTCGAGCTGTTAGCACAGAGCCCAACGCGGGGCTGGAACCCACGGACCATGAGATCATGACCTGAGCTGAAGTCGGATGCTCAACCGACTGAGCTACTCTGCCTCCCTCACCTCCATCCCCCCACCCTGAGCTACAGCTCAGGTCATGATCTCGCGGTCCGTGGGTTCCAGCCCCGCATTGGGCTCTGTGCTGACAGCTCAGAGGCTGGAGCCTGCTTCAGGTTTTGTGTCTCCCTCTCTCTTTGTCCTTCCTCCACTCACACACATACATACTCTCTCTCTCAGAAATAAAAATAAAAATTTTTTAAAAAATTTAAAGAAAGTTTGTACAACTCATTTTGATTGTGTGTATACTTAATTTTTTTTTAAAAACATCGATGGCCTTGTTTTCCCATTCAACGTGAGGTCTGTGAGCTCTCCTAATACACACAGATCTAGCGCATTCCCCTTACTGTGGCTGGGGAGTGCTCCAGTGATCAGCATACCATGTTCCTTTCCATCTATTTCTCGATTGATGCATCTCAGAAACATAAGCGACTGTGCTCTTTCAATCAACACACTGGCTCCATGCAAATTCTAATCTTTATTGAATTCGGAAGTATAACTTGTCACAGGGAAACAGTCTTTTCACGTCTGCCAGTGGCAAGGGCCAAAAAGCTACTGGTGGGGGCCTGAGCGCCCAGAGGGAAGGTGCTTCTAGAACCAGGTGTGGGGGCCAGTGGGAAAGTGGCAGGAAGCACGAGAGATGCAGACACCAAGACACACACACACACACACACACACACACACACACACACACACACACTTTCACTCAATCTCTGTCTTCAGGGAAGGGTTTTCCAGAAGCAGCGGCTCACACTCTGTATTACTGATTTTTCATGGCAAACTGAACCTACTGAAGAGAAGTGAATTAAAGGCTTAGGGGAGCCTTGCACCCCAGCTGGGGACTCGGCTGAAGGCTGCTCTTCCATGAGTGAATTCAGATTCCGCCAGAACCCTTCCCAGCTCCACCAGCCGGGGAGAGGCTGAGCAAGACCTGGGGAGGCCAGCCGGGGGGTTCCAGGAAACCGAAGCAAGAGGCAGGTTTCAACCCACAGCTCCCGGGCAGCCTCGAACGAAGGGAGGACGTTTGCTCCCAATTTCCAGAGTCAAAGGCAGAGGGAGGATAGGCATCTCTCTCGTCCCACACTCTCCGGACCCACCGTTCATCTCTAGGGGCCAAGCTCAGCTCTGAAGGGCAATGTTCAGGGTTGGGTTCTTCTTCCATTAATATAAATATGGAAAAAGCCCAGCCTCGCGCCCTCCCAAACTGCAGTGCATGTGGGAAGGCCCCGTCAGGTGGGCCTGAAGGCCCCTGCAGCCCAGCCCAAGACAAGAGCAAACTTGAAATGAACATGGAGGTAGGCCGGGGGAGGGCACAGGCAAAGGACAATAAATAAAGGTCACAGGTGAGCGGAATGGCTGGGGGACGGAGGTGGGGGGGGCGGTGAGGAGGGCTCCCAGGACAGAAGGGTGCGGAAAGGCACTGAGTGAGGGGGGAAGCAGATCCAGCCCCACAAACTCTGGTTTGTCGAGTCAGAGGTCATGTCCAACAGGGCTGGCCAGCTGAGGGCTCCAAGACTGGTCAGGAAGGAGCCGGGAGGGGTCTGGGGACCCTTCCAGCCTCCTCTCGCTCTCAGACTCTTCCACTGGAAAATCTGCTCCATGCGCCAATCATGCCTTAGCCAGGGCAGACAGAGGAGCCTTTGGAGGCCATGTCAGCAGTGGGGACTCGCCCAGGTGTGCCTTTTGCCTTTAGGGGAGAGGGAAAAAAAGGTCACTATAGGGTTAGTGGAGGCAGAGTCCCTCCCCAGTGACAGCTTGGTCTTTGGGATGAAATGGAGGGGACCGCAGGGAAGGCAGGCTCCTTGCTGGAGTTGCCTCATGCCTGAAGCAGCTTCCTTTCCCAATACTAAACAGGGATCTTCCAGGGAGGATGGGGGGGCTAGTGCCCTGGCCAGGGCTCTGCTCCGTTTCATTGCATCATTGCTGCGAAATCATCTACTCCCTGTGCTTTGGGGGGGTCTGTCGATACCCAGGGTGATCAACACAGGTGATCTTAGATGCCAGGAAGAGCAAATGGGCAGGGGCATATAAACTTCCCTGTCGGGGGTGCCTGGGTGGTTCAGTTGATTGAGCGTCCGACTTCAACTTGGTTCGTGAGTTCAAGCCCCACATTGGGCTCACAGCTGTCCGCGCAGAGCCCACATCTGATCCTCTGTCCCCTTCTCCCTGTTCCTCCCTCACTTGTGCTCTCTCAAAAATAAATTTTAAAGAATTAAAATAACCCCCCAAACTTCCCTGTAGACCAGTCCTCTTCAAGTTGTTTTATTAGCCCTGGATGCTCTCGATGCTCTGGGCCACACGCCTCCCCCACTGCTAGGTATTTGCTGAAGATCTACTTAGGGCAGGCACTGCACACGACACTGCATTTCACCCTCCCTGCCACCCCTTAGGAACACAGGGGGTCTCCACTGCAGCAGTAATGGAATTGGGCACAAAGAGATCAAATGTTAGGTTGAGTCACACGATTGCCAATATCTGGCTCTCTTTCATCTATAAAAATGCAATTTCATATGGTTGAATTGTATGATCTGTCCAAGTTCACGTGTCTGTGAGTGGCAGGGCTGATTCCAAACTATCCTCTATGGAGGATTCCAGGAGGCTAGAAGGATGGAGAGGGTCCACTCCACTGCCACGGCCACGGGGCCTCCCTCTCCATGAGACCCGCCCATTCACGGCCTCTTATGTGCCCTGCCCTGTAGCTTCCTGGCACCATCAAGGCAGGAGAAAGGGGAGGGGGGAGACAGGGAGTGGGGGGAGCCCCCACGGGGTTTCTTGGAGGGTGGCTGGTGGCACACATGGGCTCCCACACCCGGCATGCAGACTCCCACACAGAGCTGCCCGCGGACCGCAGGGGATGTCAGCTGTGGCGCTGAGCCACACGCACTGTAGGCCCAGGGCTGCCAGGTCCAGCTGGGCTTTCTTCTTTCCCTTTTTTTTTTTTTTTTTTAAAGATTTTACTTAAAAACATTTTTTTTTAATGTTTCTTTCTTTTTGAGAGAGACAGAGTGTGAGTGGGGGAGGGGCAGAGAGAGGGAGACACAGACTCTGAAGCAGGCTCCAGGCTCTGAGCTGTCAGCACAGAAGCCCCATGTGAGGCTCGAACCCACGAACCATTGAGACCATGACCTGAGCTGCAGTCGGATGCTTCACCGACTGAGCCACCCAGGTGCCCCAAGATTTTATTTTTTAAGTAATCTTTACATCCAATGTGGGGCTTGAACTTACAACCCTAAGATAGAGTCACATGTCCCACTGACTGGGCCAGCCAGCGACCCTGGGTGGGAGGCAGAACTGAGGACCCTTACCACGCCCACCCCACTGCATGACGATCCCTGTAGCCAGGCAGGGACAGTGGGCACAGCAAGGTGGAGCATAGGTTCTTACCCTTGGTTTCCACACCTGTCAAACGGGGGTAATAAGTCTCCCGCCTACGACTCCAGTCAAATGTGAGGGGTTCTTAGGGGCGCCCGGGTGGCTCAGTCGGTTGAGCATCAATCAGCCTCTTGATTTCCACTCAGGTTTGTGGGATCGAGCCCACACTCAGCGTGGACCCTCCTTAAGATTCTCTTTCCCTCTGCCCCTCCCTGGCTTTTGTGCAAAAGAAAAAAAAAAGAATGCAAGGGGACCTTACGGGTGCGAGGGCAGGTTGGGCTCTAAGCCACCAGCTCCAGGGTCCTGAATTCTCCCTCTGATTTAGGTGTGGGCTGGTTTGGGTGAGTTGATTCGGCTTCCTCAGCCACATGCTAGGTTTCTGGAGGTCAAGGACTGACTGCCCAGGCTGGGTACACAATTGGGCTCTGTGAGGACTGGGGTGCCTAGCACACAGTAGGTGCTCTTGAAACGGGAGCTGCTAAGGCCACTGTGGAGATGGGGAAAGGCTCTGAAAGCTTACACGCTGACCAGTGGACAGGGACACCCGTTGTTACGATTACTGAGAAGGGACGGGGTGGTTGTTGTTATTTTGGGTCCCTCTCCTATTCATCGCAGGCAAGGGGGGGGTTCACCCCTGTTCCCCCGGTGCCTGGCACGGTGCTCAGGAAACACAGGATTACACACATCATGTAGCACTCTGCAGCGTGGGCCAGTTGAGGGAGGGAGGAGGGCCGCGGCGGAGCCGAAGGGAGGGGGTCAGCAGGAGCGGCTTGGTACTCACCGGGGCTCTTGGGGTCTGGCCAGGGCGGGGTGCCCGGCTGCGGGTCTGCAGAACTGGTCCCGGTCTCGCTGGCCAGGCTGCTCTGGCTCTCTGACAGGTGGCTGGACAGGGGGGCGGGCCTCATCCTGGGGGACTCCGAGCTGCCACCTGTAAGAGACCACGAGTGGGCTCTTTGGACCTTGAACTGAGACAGGGATGGTGTGAGCCTGACAAGCAGCTGATCTTCTCGTCGGAAAACGTGATGGGTATTTATGGGATCGACTGCCCAGGGCCCCTCACTTGCCGCCTACACGTGGTCAGCACGCTCTGGTGTGACCCCACCTTCTGGCCAATGCTGATTGGTCCAGGATACATAAAGGCCACCGCATGGGCCCTTGGGTCAGTTCAGTGAGGAAAACTGGCGACAAGGGGGAGTTCTTCCTGACTTTGTAGAATGAGGAGGGGGAAGGGCGTCTATCTCTGTTAACCCAATGCGGTTATTTTTTTTAAGTTCATTGATCTATGTCAGTAACCTCTACACCCAATGTGGGGCTTGAACTCATGACCTGGAGATCAAGAATTGCATGGTCTACTGACTGAGCAAGCCAGGCACCCTGTACCCTACCCCGCCATGGGGTGATTAATGGCTGCCTTTGTTAACTAATGAATCTTCCCTCATATATGGCTGTGATCCTTGCCAGGGCGAGAGCGCAGAGGTGGGGTCTGTACTACCTCATTCCATTTCCTCCTACCTCCCAGCCTCACCTGGCCACAGCTGAGAGCTGCTATGAGGTGGGGTTCAAGAGCTATGTGTGTGTGAAGTGGGGAGTGGGGGAGTGAACATCATGGCCGGCAGGTAAGTTTCCTTTACACTTTTTAAAGATGGAGTCTTTAGGCCAAGGGGCCTAAGAGACCATACCGTCCAGCGGCAGGTGTCGTCTCCGTGCTGCCTACTGATACTGACGGCTTGGACACCTGTGGCGAGAGGGTTCTGAGGCCGTGTCAGGCTCTGTGGGAAGAGTATCTTGATCCACTAGTAATGTCTGCCACGGGCCCAGGTGTGGGAGTATAAGTGCATGTGCCAGGCCCCTGATCTAGCCCGAGCTGCAGTCCCCACCGGGAGTTCCTTCCGTATCAGCCCCGGGAGATCCCCCAGCTTGGCCCCAGGACAGCACCCGGAGGCGTGTCATTCCAGTTTGGGGCACTTACTATAAAGCTCTTTGCTTGTGCACTAAAACCAGCCTTCCTGAACGTCTTTCAAACATCCCACTTCTAACCTCTGGAGTAACTCTGAATGACGTTGGTCCTGGGAAGGCCCTTCATGTGCTTAAACGAAAGAAAAAACTGCCCGAGGCCTTCTCTGCACCAGCCTCAAGGCCCCTTAATTCTCTTTTACATGACAAGGTCACAGAGGAGAGCTCAGAGACATTAAACTCTGAAGAAACTTTGGGGACCATCTGCTAAATAGATGAAACAGAGGGGGCACCTGGATGACTCCATCGGTTAAGAGACAGGCTCCTGATTTCGGGTCAGGTCTTGAAATCTCACGGTTTGTGAGTTCGAGCCCCGCATCGGGCTCTGCACTAACAGTTTAGAGCCTGGTGGGATTTTCTCTCTCTCTCTGCCCCTCCCCCATACTCTTTTTCTCTCAGAATAAATAAACTTAAAAAAAATAAAAAAAAAGAAACAGAACCCCAAAAGGGTTCTGTTTTGGCCCCCACTGTAGTTTCAGGGCAGAGCTGAGCCCAAGGAACTTTGTACCTGATTTTCACAGCCATCGTCACTCACGAGGCACAGTCTCACCTCGGGAATGCTTGCAGTGATCGTCCTCCTTCCCCGCCCCTGCACACACCTGGGGCTCTTTTCCCTGCTGCCCTGCAGGGGTGCTAACACTTCGGCTCGGCCATCCCAGCGCCAGGCCCATGTCTCCTCCCTGATCTAGAACAGCCGCGTATACACCTTCTGGGGAGCCACAACCCGAGGAAGCAGCAAAGCCACCTGCACGTGGGGCTTCGGAAACGAGCGGTGCGCTTGCTATGCTTACCTGATTCCCCTCGGGGCTTGTCACCTTTGGGGTCCTGCACACCGGTCGGAAGGAGTCTGTCCTCCAGGCTGGAGGAGCTGAGATCTGAGTCACTGTCGCTGTCGCTGGAAACCACTGGAAAGAACAGACACCAGCACTATTACTGCTACCGGTCACTACCGGTAGGCACACGGGTCGGGGGGGCCAGGGCAGGCCTCCCCTCTGCCAGGACGGAGCGGCAGAGACCCTCAGCCGGTCCTTGTGTCTGGGGCACAGGAACGAAGGCCTGGGGACGGGGACAGCGGGGCGATCCTGTCGGCCGAAGAGGGGAGTCCTGGTGTGAGAGGCTGTGACTCGGGTCCAGTGCGGCCAGTACCTGCCCCGGTGGCAGACTCAGAAGCCCCCGGCCATGGTAGGAGCCGACGGCCTCCTCTGGTACAGGCACAGCCCCTCTGAGGATGCACTTGGCAATGCTGAGGTGTGAGGCCATGCGGTTTGACCCTGTAACCAGGCAAAGCATCTCTGCTTGTAAGGGAGTCGCCAGTCCTTGCTGACCCTCCTGACGCCTTCCCCCGCTACCTTTACGTACGCTACCACGCTGAAGCTCACAGCGACCCGCCAGGGGGGGTTCTCTTCGTTCCACACGTGAGGAAAGCGGGGCACCGGCCCAGGGCAGCAGTGGGAGAGCTGGGCTTCGTCCCCTGGCAGGCTGGTTTCACACCCGCTGTTTGTAACCACTCTGATTTTACTGGAAGAAATGAACTAACTGGGAGTCGGCAGGCCTCGGCTCCCATCCCACTTCATCCAGTAATTCGCAGTGGGGCCCTGTGAGCGCAGGAGAGCCAGGCTGATGGGACTGGAGTCCCAGGAGACGGGAGCAGAAGGAGCTCTCATGGCGGACACCCACTGTGGTAGAAATCTTTTCTGGACTAAATGGGGCCATACTTGGAGGTTAATCAACAGTAGCAGTCACAATCCAGAATATTTTCATAGGGTAAGATTCTATTTTAATTTTTTTAAGGTTAATTTTGAGAGTGTGCACGTATGCACACAGGATAGAAGGAGAGGAGAGAGCGAGAATCCCAAGAGGGCTCCATGCTGCCAGCGCAGAGCCTGATGCAGGGCTCGATCCCACGAAGCGCGAGATTGTGACCTGAGTTGAAATCAAGAGTCAGACGCTTCAGCGATGAGCCACCCAGGTGCCCCTCTATTTTAAAAGTATAGAAATGTACGTCCATTCACCACGTTTGATGTAGGGCTTGGGTGCTTCTTTGAGATCGGGCCCCCACGGTCTTCCACGTCTCGGCTGCATCCATGTTGCACTGGGATCCCTGGGCTTCTTTATACCGGAGCTTAAAGACACTGCCAGAGCAGGAGTGCAGAGCCCTTCTCTGTTTTTCCCATTTCTTTCTCCTGCCTTTTACAGTCGCCCTGCCCACACCTGATTCAATAGCTTTTTTAAGCAAGTAGCTTCCATCAAGACTTTTAAAACCAAGTCCTGGTTTTAATGAAATGACTGTCTTTCCTGGCTCTTTCCATCAGTTAATGTAACATTTAATTATATGCTCTCATTCTAATGCCAAGTACAAGAGCACAGAAAGGTTTGGGATCCAGGTAAGTAGCTCTCACGGGTGACTGACTCCGTGGATGGGGTAAGAGTCAGTGTGCCTTGGGGGCGCCTGGGTGGCTCAGTCGGTTAAGCGTCCGACTTTGGCTCAGGTCATGATCACGCCGTCAAGAGTTTGAGCCCCGCGTCGGGCTCTGTGCTGACAGCTCAGAGCCTGGATCCTGTTTCAGGTTCTGTGTCTCCCTCTCTCTGGCCCTCCTCCCACCCTCCCAAAAGAAATAAACATTAAAGAGACAGTGTGCTTTGCCGCCGAGAACAAGACACCTGGTTCCGGAGGGAGGGTCAGAGGGGCTGGGCGCCCTCAGCCCGGCACCATGCCAGGTGCCTAGACAGCCTTATCTGCCAATCAGCCCCATGCCGTTGGGGCTTGTCTGGTGGGAGACAGGATTGGAAATAGAATCAGTCTATGCCAGGGGCGCCTGGGTGGCTCAGTCGGTTGGGTGGCCGACTTCGGCTCAGGTCATGATCTCACGGTTCGTGGGTTTGAGCCCCGCATCGGGCTCTGTGCTGACAGCCCAGAGCCTGTTTCAGATCCTGTGTCTCCCTCTCTCTCTGTCCCTCCCGTGCTCATGCTCTGTCTCTCTCTGTCTCAAAAATAAATAAATTAAAAAAAAAAAAAAAGAAAGAAAAAAAATCAGTCTGTGCCAACGGTGGCTCATAGGTTTCATCTGATCAGCTGGGCCCCTTGAGCAGCTTGCAGAGAAGGATCCTGAGAACGCATTAACAGCCTGCAGGAAGATGAGTCTGGTCCAGGAGGGAAATCCACAGTGGCCAGGAGCAGCAGTGACACGACCTATGCCACCTAGTTTCTAGCCAGATCTAGGGTCTTCTGGAAAGCCTTTGTGCCTTCAGCCTGGGTCACCTTTTGGCAAAGGGAGCCACAGGTCACAGCATTAGGCAACCAGAGCAACGGAGCTGGCCAACCATAATCAAGAGGTTCTCAACCCTGCGGCTTTCATAGCAGAGGGTCTGGTACGCTGTTCGTGCTTCCGGAAGCCCTGATGGCTTCTTGGCTCTTCTCTTTCCCTCATCCCCACATTCTGCCAGTTTCACCTCCTAAATGGCTCTCCAGTCAGTGGCCTCCTCGCTTTGGGTCACGGCCCCTGCCCAGCTCGGAGCCTTAGGGTCTCGGTCTGGTCTCCCTCAATAGCTTCCCACCTGGGCCCCTCCTGTGGGCACCTCCCTCTGCACCGAGGGGACTGCCCCTGCTAACACACAGGTCCCAGCTTCCCGCTCTCTAGAAGTGCCCTGCGTCCACAAGCCCATGCTCCTCATCTTCGCCTACTTCTCTAGCGTCATCCTGCACATCTGCCTCTTACCTAGGCTTCTCCACACCACTCAGGGCTCCTACCAAACTGCCAGCTGGTACCTCCTGCAGTGTCTCACTTCTTGCTGCCCGGAATGCCCTGCCCATGGCTCTTCTCCTGGCTCCTTTCTGTTTATTTAATAATCTCCACACCCAATGTGGGGCTTGAACTCACAACCCTGAGATCAAGAGTCACATGCTCTACTGACTGAGCCAGGCTGGCACCCCTCTCCTGGCTCCTTTTGGACGCTGTCTCCTCCAATCACCCGCGCCTGGCTGGCTGAATGCCTGATGCAGTTTGGTACAGCCACTCTCGGCTTTCAGTGTGCGTGTGTCTTTCCCTCAGCGGACCCCCAGGCTTCTGGAGGGCAGGGGCCAAAGTGCACCCCTGCCTGAAGCTGGTAAGCTCCTCCTGCACAGCCGACCCACGTGGGTGGGGCGAGCATGACGTCAGCGTGGCGGTTCCCGGCTTTTCCTTCCTCTATCTGCTCAAGGAGTTTGCCTTTTCTGCTCTCTTCCTCTTTGCCTTCCAGAAAGAGTTCTGCTTTGGCTTTCTGGGCTCTTGTCATGTAGAATCAAGAGGAGCTGGGAACGCAGAGGGGCTATGGTCCACATACCTCTTCATACGATATGAGAAATGCAACAGGCTAATTGACTTCGCAAATGCTTTGCAGGTCCTGGACTGGGTTTCTCTGATCATGACTCCACTGACTGAACCTCATGGGCATTGGTTTTATAAGCATTTTACGTATTTTTGACTCAGTCAGTGACTGACTAAACACCAAGCCTGTGGGTCCCCAGACAGAGAGTAGGAGGTGGGCAGGAAGCAGCTGGCACCCCCTTTGTCTCCCTGTTGCCCCAGGGCAGCTGCAAAGGAATGTGGGAGGATTCTGCACCCCCAGACAGGGGGTTTGGCAGCCCCTTCAGCAGAGAGGAAGTCCCTGAGGGGAGCGGGGACTGATCTCCACACTGGCTTCCCCAAGTCTCTGGCAGAGATGCTTGTGGGTAATCTCATTCTTTGACCTGGAATGCTCCATCTCCCTGATGTTTCATATGCACAATCGTCATAATTCTCGGGCCAGCAGGGAGGGGGCAAGGGGCTGGGGCAGTGGGGTCTGGGGGATATGTGGCTCCCCCCCTCTTGAAACAGTGTCTTGATCCTTCAGAGCCAATGTACAGAGAGAGACAGAGCGTGAGCAGGGGAGGAGCGGAGAGAGAGAGATACAGAATCCGAGCAGGCTCCAGGCTCTGAGCTGCCAGCACAGAGCCTGATGCAGGGCTTGAACTCACGGACCGCGAGATCACATATGGTGGTGAGCTCTTTATCCCACTTCTTAACCCTCTTCTCTGGCCTGTAACCTGTCATACATGCACAGTGTTGGGTCACATGGGTCTCAGAGTGAGCCTGAACTGCAAGAAGGCTACGCCGTGGTATATTTGTGGGGGAGGGGTATGTCTTGTCCACAGCGTCCAAACCTTGGAGGCAGAGTTCAGGAGGCACCGCACTGTGCAGTTCCCATGTGCCAGTGCTGTGCAAGCTTTAGAAAAAACTAAATGCTTCCTGAGTTAGTCCGTTGACTTGTTCTCTGTCTCTTTTTACAGACGCCCGAGGCCCACAGCCATGGAGATGGGGGGACAGTTCCAGATGACAACTGAGCTCACAGAGGTGTCACAGAGCAGAGAACCGGCCAGCAGACGAGATTGCTTCCCTTAGGCCGCGTCTCCCTTGGTTCGCGCATCTTTGCTCGTGCATCTGGGACTGGGAGCCGGGGCCAGGCCTAAGCTTAGAGGTTTTTGCAGCGCGAACCCAATCCCATTCTAATCCACTGAAATGAACTCTGCTTGAAAGAAAGAAACTAAAAGAAGCCAGCAGTGTCCATGCCTGTCAGCAGGAAAGAAACACACCAAGCAGACACTGCTGAGAATGTCCCTGGACAGGGTCCAACGCAAACGCCATTTGCCCAAATATGCCTCTGGCAGCAAGGGATGAAGTTTTTCTTCTTCTTCCCCCTCCGACTGTCACCATAAAACCCAAACCTTGGCTAATTTGCCATTCGATTGCCGCTGCCGCCCTTCTCACAGCATCGCAGCTGTGATCGTAAATCTTCCAGGTCTATTAACAACGCTTTTAGGCTCATAAATCTTTGGGCCCTTGCTCTTCCATCCTCAACAAAACAGTGTGTCTGAAGGCTGATTTTTTCC